GGTTTCTCATAAATATAAAAGCCTTGATTATTTACTTAGTTAAAGTTTGGTGGTGAAGCCATGATGGCCAAGTGTGTTAAGATGTTACCTACTTTAACATTCTTGAGTCTTGTAGCGCCGATTTGAATCCAAGTTGGGCAGATTGAAATTTATTTTCAATCTTCTAATTCTGGCTAGAATAGGTTTGGTTGTGCCTCTAGAACAACCTCCCTCCCTTCCTCATATGCCAGAAATGGTGAGTTATGGGTTAAAAAAAAAAATTAAAATATAACTATAGGCTAATAAAAGATATGACAAATGAGTCATTAGTTTCAGTTTATGCCTTTTTATTAACCATGTATGTCTGTTAATTTCACCATTCCATAAAGTTAAAGACCTTTAGTAAGAATCAAATACAGATTGTTTCAAAAATATATAGCTAAGTGAAAGTAATAAAGTTGATTAATGAATGATCTTTCTGTTTTAATGACAAGGGATGCTATACCACTTAATATGGTAAATACATTTAAAAATTGAAAATAATCAATAACATATGTTGTCATTTCTATTTATTCTTATTCAAATATAACATAAACTATAAAAATTATCAATTCAAGTATAAATGACTGTTGTTCTAATCTTGTTTTTCATTGGTAGGCAAGTACCACTGCACAACCACTGATACATTGCATTAGTTCTAACAATATGTTTGTTCTTTTTAGTGCAGTGATTATTATTTTTTCTGGAAAATATTCTCTGTCTATTCTTTATTTTATTTCCAGAAAATATTGAATTGTCTTTGTTGTATAATCACTTTTTACTGATCATTGTAACAGTTATTGCATCATTTTTCACTTACATTTAATAGGACTTAAAAGCACATCTATGTCCAGTATTTTATAACTAATCTTATGTGAATGTTTTGTTTGATGTTTAACCTATCTATATCACACTATTATTTCACCAGTTCATTACATAATATTGACTAATTTAGTTTTAATCATCTCTCATAGTGCTCCGATCCATGAATCTACATCCATGAGCCCCAATGCTCTTTAATTTAGTTTTCTGCTACTGCTTTCCAGTTTTTGACATGTGCAAGTTTAGACTTACTGGGTCAGCTTTCCAATTTTCTGGAACCTCCAATCAAGAAATAGAATTAGGAATCAAACATTTTTCTTTTACCCAACTTCATAATAGAAAAGTTTATAAATTTTACTTTGTAAGCGTACCAGAGATCTGGGAGATTTCATCGGCTCTACCAAATTTACAAATATATAAAAATATTTATCTGAAGATACTGTGGTTCTTCAATAATATTTCCCCAAACTGCTAAGAAATTATTGTTCTTACAAACATTGTACGTTTTCTTTCTAAATGATCCTGAAGCTAGGACTAAATTACAGCTGATGCTCATGGCTTTCATTAACATAAAACAGTTAGTATTAGAATATGTTATCAAAATCTGCTCAATCCTTCACAAGTAAATCAAATTATATAAACATATCTAAATCTCTATTTAATTACTGAAGTGGCCCATGTCTATGTAATTGAAGTCTAAGTTCTGATAGTGGATCTCGTTTTTTCCTTTATATTTGTCTGTGTATATTTCCTTTAAAGATTTCATATCTATGTAGAACAAATGAAATATAGGTTTTAAAAGCTTTTGGTGCCCATCATTTGGAAATGCTGCCTGTTGTTACATATATTACTTTTTTTTCTAAAATTCGCTTTATTATCCAACTTTTTTTGTGATAGATACTTATTAAAATTGTGAATTTTGTGAATCCAAAGTCCATCTATACTAGTATTTAAATTACTTATGCTAATATTTAAATTTTTGGGCCCTTGATTCTTTTTAACTTATCCATATTAAATTGGTGTTTAATGTGGAAGTTTTATTATAATTTAAATATATAAAGAAGATTTATATATTTTATCTCCACAAAAATGATAAGGTTTATTTAGAGATTCTCTTTAGTAATACAAAAAAGCTTTCTTATGAAGAAGAAAAATAACAAAAAATATTTCATTTCAAGCAATTTCACAGCTTTACTCACTGTAAGTCCCGATTTTCACTGATGTTGATTATCTAGTTGAAAAAGAAAATCAATACTCATTATAAGTGCCAAAATAGTAATTTATTAAATTAAATTAATAGTTTTGAAATAATATTCATTTGTACTGTTATTTCTCTTGTTATTGTGATATTCTTGGAAATGAAAGTTGGATATACTGTTAATAAATAGTTTATATGGTCTGCAGTGTACTCTATTTAATTATTTCATGTTCTACATCTCATGTTTTATGTTAAAATTGTTTATTAGATCCTTATACTTCCATTCTATGGTAATTTTTTTTTAATATATTTAAAAAATTAACACTATTTTCATATTCCAGTTTTGTTATTTTGCACAAATATTTATAAAATGTGGAACAATTCTAATAATTAAAAACTTGTATTAAAAGTATCTTGCTTATTTACAGCAGAAATGGGAAAATTTCATGAAGTTGAATTGTTTGAAATTACACTTAAATATTCATGCCTGCTGATTTTTATGTCCTTCCATTATATTTATAATTAATATTTGTAAATAGAGACCGGATCTTCATGCAGTAAAAATCCGAAAAACGTACAGCGAAACCTCAAAATGTATAAAATCGTGCAGTAAAAATCAAATATATCTGAAAATACGTATTTAACACTTAAAAATGAGCATAAAAGTTTGTTTAATTTATTATATTATACATTTAAATCTGATCAAACAGTTTATAAAGTTTCTGAATTAAAATAATATGTAATGAGAAAAAAAAAATTAAAATACAACATTGAAAATTAAATTCCTTTTGAATTTTTAGAAATACTCAGTAATATGTATTTATGATTCTCAAATGTTCAAATATTAGTATTGATGGTGTTTTTTTAGATCACCTATTCTACAATGAGCGTCCATCTGTGATTTCCCATCACACCCAATTCATTTTTCATAGGCCATGCAGTAGACAACTTTCCCATCAAATTTCAATTTATAGTAATGTGATATCCAGGTATTAATTTTTTATATCCTAGATCGAGATACTACTTTTGCCTATATTCATTTTTAATAATTATGAAATTACTATAATTCACTTCAAAACCCGAAAGGGATACTTAAGAGCTGAAGAATGTGTGAGAATTAAGCCAAAACAATAAATGTCTTCTGAGTAAAGTTCTAAAAGTAAAAATAAAGTTCTATTCCACGAATATTTCCAATTTGTGTTTATTCTTATTTATTGAATTTCTTATTTATTTAAATTCTTCAATTTTAATGTTTATTTCTTAAATAAAATTCTATTCCAAGAATATTCCCAATTTATGTTTATTTCTTCCATTTGTAATGTTTAATTCGAACCATTGCTAGTCACATAATTATTTACCTTTCTCATATTTAATTTAGAGATTATAGACCCTTCAATTATAAATATAACATGGAAAATATAGTGAAATAAAAAAGTAAATATTTACACAAACATATAATTCATCTTTATAAATCATCTAATCTAGCTCAAAAAAGCAAAAATGTGCAATTTAATGCAACAAAAATCAAAAACTTGCAATTTATCCCAAAAACAGAAAAACGTGCAATATCAAATTTCAATATGTTATTCTACAGATTGTGGAATAGATACATAGGGTTAGAAGTTTTTATTCATAAGCAAAAACAATGTGCAATAACATGGAAATCTGATCTCTATTTATAAATCTAGCTTTTAGCCACATCAAAAATTTTCCTCATAAGCTAAATGGGTTTGGTACCTTACTTAATTAATTCACAAAAAAAAAGAAAAGAAAACCGGCCTGGAATTAAGTTCTTAATTTGTCATTTTTCACAATGACTTATTAATTAATTAACCTTACTTATATTAATTTCCTCCCAAAAAAAAAAAAGAAAAATTAAGGTTGCCTGGAATTAAGTGCTTAATTTGTCATTTTTCACAATGACTTATTAATATTTTTCTATATTTTCTGTTTTATTTTACTTTCTTTTTTTTTTTTTTTTGGGAAACCAACTTATTGCTTTCAAGTGAACCTGGTATCTACACCTGAAAATAGCGAACCAATTACCCAAATTCAAGCACTTTTAAAATAATGGATCAACCACCTATCCTTCCCTCTCCCCAATCCTCAGTTTTTTAATCAATCAATTAGAATCTTATTTTCTTTGCTAAGGTCGACATTGTTGTAAAGTTGGTAATTCATTGTGATTTATAAGTTACCTTACCGTTTTCTAATTGATTTTTTTTAATTTGGTAGTTTGTGTTAATAATACATTATGATTTATAATACTGTAAGCTATTTCAAATTTTAAAAAAAGTTTTTTTAAACAAAAAAGCTTTGATCAATATGAAAGTTTCCCATTTCATACATGTTTTTTAATATTTATCATTTTATTAATTGTAAAAGTAAAAAAAAGGTTTAAATTTTAATATTGGATTTATTTCTTTGAAACTTATTTGGATATTGAACAGAAAAATTTAACTAATATTTTGATATATATTAATTTACGACTGAAATTTTATGTACTACTGTTATTAATTAAACAGTATTATAAATTGGTATATAAATATTACAGGACTATTTAATTAATGTAATCTTTTGCTCTAGAATACATGTTAAATCTGATATAATGATCTGAATAAATTAATAAGTGCTAATTGTTATAATTATTTACTTCAAATGTGATCAAGTATTTAATTATCTAGAATTTTATCTTTGAAAAAATATTTACTATTCCCTTGTCCTCATGTAATTAAATATAATAATTAAGTTGTCTAAGTACTCTATTGTTTAACTAAAAGTAATTAATTTGATGTGTTTTTTTTTTAATATTAATCCAAAGTTTACACTAAAACCCCATGTATCAGACCTAACAAAATGATCTAACTTGATACTATTATTACAACTTCTGTGCTTATGAATTCATAATATATTTTTATAATGATTAATTATTATTTTTAACTATATTTATTTGACTATACAGTGGGAGCTGGTGAAGGTCGAAAGGGGAGAAAGACAGCATCTGCTGATTCAATCCTTGCAATGTTCCGCAATTTCTCTGGTGTCACTGGTGCAGTACCAGCAGCTTCTCCCTCAACAACTCCTACCGGTTCAACACCTAGAGATGAGGTTGCTGGCAGTGATGATAGCTCAACAAACACCCCTCTTTCATCTTCAAGTGGCATTGCAGATTCACCACCACTCTTCACGAAAAAAACAACTATTCAAGTATTTCATCTTATATCTTTTTCTTTTTTTTTTAATTTTCATATCAGTCGAACTTAAAATTAAGAATTTTAGTGCCTTTCATAAAATACTTATACCCTTTCTAAAAATGAAATATTAGTGTAACATTCTTAGTTTATTTTCTCCCTACCACTTCACTAATGCAAACTACTAAATATAGCGGTTCCCACTGAACACTGAGACAGAAATTTAACCCTGTTTTCCGACTTGATGTAAAAGGAGTATTAGATTACGCTAGGATGGTTATCCGTACATTTCAAATCTAAGGTTTCGAAAGGCTAGCTCAGAGAGAGTAAAACACTTTCATTCCATTCATCTTTATTCTTTCAATCTACAGGCTGTTTGTTATCTTTGCCTGACTAGCAACAGCTTGTTTTATTTGAGTACTTTAAGAAAAATTGGTTTGAAAATTAGATGCATATGGTTAATTTTTTAGATATAAATAAAATTTATTAATTTTGTCTTCATAACTTTACATAGTTGTAATTTAACTTTTGAAATTGGTTTAGTAAAACAAATCTTATAATAATAAAAATCTCTGACTTTATATAAAATATTTTGAAATGCATTTAGAACCTTGTCACAAAAAAAACTAAAAATGAAAGTGACAAAAATGTAATTGAAGATACAATTAAAAAAATAATAGTTTTCAATCTTTTTACTTTCATACTATTGCTACGTAAGAAAGTATAGTAATCGGGTCAAATTTTTATTGTGCTGTTTTCATTGGATCTTTTGATTCAAACATCTCTCCCTCCCTCTTTAAGTCCAAGAAAACTGTTATTCGAACATCAATCAAGTATATTTAATTCAACAACGGTTATCTCTTGAAGGGGTGGGCCAATTCCTTTGCTCATCCTTTTGTTTTTTTAAGTTCGTCATTTGATGTAAATGTGCCTATAAGGGTACCCTGCGCACAAGAACACCGGTGCATGTTCCAAAGAATATGTTTTTGTATAGTATGTTGTGCGAAAACATCTATAAGAATTTTGATAAAATGTGAAATTTTAAAATGAATTAATATCATAAAAATAAAAAACTTCTAATAATTAAATTTGGTTGCAAAATATTAGTAAACATGACAAGAAATGATTTTCCTGAAAAAAAAATTGCTGAATTTTTTTTAATGAAATAGAATCACCATACTTGAACTAAGGTTATTTTTTCTTAGAAATAATTTAATTTGATTTTTTTTTTCCCTTTACCCATCTGGGTCTTTCTTAGAAATAGTAAGCAACAGTACTATTCAAAATTGCCTCTTACTCCTTTTTGCACATTTTGTGGATTGGTTCCCTTCCACTGAATGCCGTCAACTTTTGTATTGATCTTTCACCCAAAGAAGTAAGAAAATATAATATGTGTGAATGTGACACACCAGATATTTCAGTACATAAAACTGACAAATTTCTAACTGAAATAGTGAAAATCATCAATTTTATTTTATTTCTAAATTTCTAGATCTCTTGTTTTACTGCAAGAACACTTCAGAATGTATGTAGTTTTAACAAAATATCAAGAGGTTGATGGTTGACTATGAATGTATATAGATTAAAAAGCACAGTACTATTGGTTCACCAATGTGCAATACAACTTAGTCAAACCACACAAAGTAAATAAATGGCCCTCAGTTAGAACTTTGTCATATTAGTAGCTCAATGATTTCTAAACAGATCACAAATATAGTCAGTTTCTCGTGTGCATTAGACAAAGACAAATAAGAATTACCAATATCATTTTAGTCAAAAATATCAGTTACAATATTAATGACAAAGGTAGCATATCGTTAATTGAGATTTCTCAGTATTTATACTCTATATTAATAGTAAATTTTAAATATCTGTTGGTAGGTTTAATTACATTATTATGGTCAAAACTATTACTTACTTTATGAAATTTATCTATTATTTAATACAACTGATTAATGTTAAGTATATTGTTTGTTTTAGGTCTCGGTGCTAGATCCATTAAGCGCACAAAAAACTAGTAACAGCCTGCAACCTTGCAGTCTTTTGCAACCACCTACCATCCTCCTGGAAGTTCCAAATAAGTGCCTCTCACCCATTCGGGAACTTCCAACCCCTGTTCCTTCTCCAGCACTAACTCCAGTTATGGCAAGACACAATCCCATGGCTCTTCTTTCACCATTGCCTTACAAGGGGCAGCAATCACTTAAATTGGATTTGAATAGAAAAGAAGATGATAATGGAATTGTTATCCCTGTTGTTAGAGTAGAGGCAGCTTCTCCAGGTCCTGGGTCACCGCCTCCGCATCGCTCCCATAAACCCTATCTTAAAGACTTGGATAAACCGAATTCTTTGGATCTTCCTTATCCTCCTCCTATTATTACTGTCACTTGTAGCATGACTGAAGGAGAGTCAGACACAGATTCTCCTGCTGCAATCAAAACAAATTCTGCTGGCATGTGCTACCTGAGTCCATTTTCCATGTGCACCAGAAATGATAGAACTACTTCTGAGTCCAATCTTAGTTCTTCTGGATACAGCTCTATGGCGAGTCCAGGTCCTTCAAGATGTGGATCTAGCAATCCTCTGTGTCCTACAGATGTGGAAGATAATCATCATATTCCTCGTAGGCCATCACCTCTTCTGAGAGCTCCATCCTGTGAAGAAAAGGTAGTCCACCGAGGGAGATCAGATTCTGAAACAATGTCTGATGATCCACAGTTGGAATCAAATGATGAAGGTTTCGGAACAGACCAATTAGAAGAGAAAATAGAAGAAGGTGAGCTTAAAAGTGCTAAAGAATTAGAGGTCTTTCTTGAAGATTGTAATGAAAGAGCAAAATTAACTGGCTTACCTCCACCTGGAAATGTTAAACACTGCAGTAGTTTTGATACAGGTTTGGAAAATTGTAAACCAAAAATAAGAGTGAAACATTGTACTAGTGTGGAAGCCGGTTTAGATTGTTTTAGAATTACTCCTCCTCCTGTAAGACATTGTGGAAGTGCTGATGATAGTCTGAATAAGAAAGTTTTATTGCAACTCCCTTCAATAGTTGTAGATGGTGATTTGTGTGGTGATAAGCATATTAGTCCAGTCAGTTCAAGGAGTGAAAGTCCTCTTAGTGACAAAACTGGTTTAGGTAGATTTTCTCCGATGTTTTATGGACGAATGACTGATTCAGATGGATTGTATGACTGTGGTGCGAGTTCTGATTGTTGTAAAAAAAAAAATTCTAGTCGTAGGAGGGAAAGAAGAAGAAGTAAATCTCCAACCAAAATTTCGCAGGTTCTATTAGAAGTCCCTGGAAAAAATGGGGTACATGAAACTGTTGTCAGGGGGACAACAAGAGCCAAACCTAGTCCAAAAAGAAGAGTTAGACCACAGTTTCCTTCTTCAACATCCTCTTCTTCAGCTGAGAGTCTTAATTCCATTAGGTAAGATGATAATAGGTGTTAATCAATAAGTACTGCCCTAATAATTTATTACTCTATATGGATGTTTGTAAAATTTATTTAACAAACTTTCTATCCTTCAGAAATTTTACTTTCAACATTGGAAATTAAATTAAGTGCAATATCTATTTCTAACTTCTATAATTTAATAGTCTCAATTGATATTTAGAATATAATACTTTAGTTAACTCTTCATGGTTTCATGACAATCATATCTTTTCCTCTCTATCCACTATGTCAATGTGGTAAATCTTATTATTGTAAGACCCATAATCAGTGCTGTCATCCAAGGTTTAAGTAATTCAACAGCATCAGCATACCTTATGTTAATGCTATAAATCTCATAAAATCGAGTAAAGTCCTTTTCTTTAAGGAGCCTCATCTATCCATTTTTCAACCCTGTGCGTATTATGAGAAGGGAGTTTTGAGGGCTTTTTCCTAGCCTCTGGACTCATGTTTCAGAATTTTTCCACCAAGTGACCCAACATTTTTTATCTGCTGCTTGTGCTAGAAACTTCACACAAAGCTATATAATTAATAATGAGTTTTAGGATATTTCATTTGAATGTGATTCTCTGATTTAAATCTGTGAGTTTTTTGGATATCTTTAAAATAACATATGCCAACCTACTACCTCTAACAACTAGCCTGTTCTTCTAAATCCTTTATTCTTTTCACTAAGTGCATAGAAACTTCATTATTGAGTGACTCCAAACAAGACTCTGTCTTTTAAGTTAACATGCCATTGCTATTGCAAAGCATGTAGGATTTTAGACTTTAGTCTAGATAATGGACTGCTGTTCTATAAACAGTGGATAAAATCCAATCCATGGTACAGAAAGCATATATCATTGAGGAGTTTGCAAGTATGAAGATGTCAATATTGCTGTGAATCGTTTCATCTATCCCTTCTAAAAGCATAAGGCTGTGGTCTAACTGAAAAACCATCCACAACCAGTGAATAATGATAATGGATGCTCAGTTAAGCAATGACAAAATCAAACATATGGATTATAGCTATATATCCTATCCTAATTGAACATTTGGAGTCACTAGCAGATCCAGCCGGGGGATGTAACCCCCTCTTCCTGGAAGCTGGAAAAAAATTCCAAAAAAGCAGCTATTTAAAGAAAAGAGGAATATAGGAAAAATTCATCCTCATAGGCGATGAATTTCCTAACATAATATAAAAAAATATTATTATTAATTACCTAAATTCAGAAAGAAAAAAAAAAAAAAGTGACAAAATCACCTATTTAAAGAAAAGAGAAATATAGGTAAAATTCATCTTCATTCATGAATTTCCTATCGTAATATAAAAATAAAATTATTATCGTGACCAGCACTAGCAAATTTTGAAAGGGACCTTCTCTTATTAGATGGTGTAAACAAATTCTGAAAAAAGTGACAAAAAACACTTATTTAAAGAATAGAGTATTGTAGTTTTTGGGTCACCATGAGATGTGAAGGCTTGTGCTATTGACTCCAAAATGAGTCTCACAAGTGAAATACATGATGGAGAAAAATGAACTTCATTTATTCTTTCAAAGAACCATTTATTCGAGCACAAGAAAATACGAGTTTTCTCCCGGAGCCAACTTTAATTCAGTTCCAATAGATCTGGATTGCAACCTCCAGCTTCTTCTTTAACGGACTTTATTATGCAAAGTGATAAATCAAAAAAATATCTTTCATTCATCTGTTCATAGTCTCCTTGAAGAATCCATGCAATTCATAAAACTGGTCACAATAATAATTTCTATATTTCTCAATAGAAAGTGTTGTTCTTTTCTGAAATAGTTGCTGTTGGAAACATTTTCATGAAGGAAGGTACTAATTATTTGGTCCCCGATTGGATCGGAATCTGATTATGATCAGAATCGGAAATTATTCTGATTTTTTTTTCTTAGAGAACTCATTTTCAAGCTACAGGGCCATTTATAGTTATCTTTTTCAGATTTTGACAGTCAGTACAAAAAATGTTCATTGACAGTGGTTATCGACCATATCACTTAATCAAATTATTAAGTTTAGGTATTCGTTTTTTACTTTGATGCTCTGTTTAGTAGTAATACATGAAAAAAAAAGATCAGATAAATCTGGAATTTTTGGCTGTTAAAAGTTTTCTCTTGGTGATCCATGTTAGATGTGACCCATGTTAGGCCGCCGTGAGATGCGAATGCTTGTGCTCCTGTCCCAGTTTATTCTTACTAACTCCGAACTGAGTCTCGCATGTGAAATACATGACCGAGTAAAATTAATTTTAAAAAAAAATGAACTCCATTTATTCTTTCGAACAAATATTTTATTCTGGTACAAGAAATACGGTTTTTCTCCCAGACTCAGTTTTTATTCAGTTCCAATAGATCTGGAAGCATTGCAACCTCCAGCAACTATAGTCCCCTTGCAGAATCCATGTGATTCATAAAACTGGTCAAGATAATAATGTGTATATTTCTCATTAGAAAGTGTTGTTCTTTTCTTAAAATAGCTGCTGTTGGAAACGTTTTCATGAAGGAAGATACTAATTATTTGGTCTCCGATTTGATCGCAATTGGAAATTATTCTGGATTTTTTTTTAGAGAACTCATTACCAAACTGCAGGGTCATATAGTACTCTGTCTCAACAATGTTGGTAAAAATTACCGTTCCATACCACTTAATCAAATTGTTAAGTTTAGGTACTCGTTCGATGCACAATTTTATGTTCTTTAATTTCTTAAAGAATATGTATTTTGCTTTGATGCTCTGTTTAGTAGTAATACATTAAAAAAAAAATCAGATAAATGTGGATTTTTTGGCTGTTAAAAGTTTTCTCTTGGTGACCGGTGTTAGCGATTTTGTTTTTTACATGTCTAAACCCATATACAGGGTGTTCTGTAAGTAGGGGGAAGCATTAAAAGGAGTGATAGTAGAACTAAATAAATACAAAAAAGTTTATATAAACAATGGGTCAATTTTCAGTAGAAAAGAAGGAAATTATAGTTTTGTGATTTTTTTTAGTAAGTCACGTTTTAGTTAAATAGGAAGTGATAACAAAAACTATTTAATTTAAGTAATTAATGATTCCTTCACTGTAAACTCCGCAAAATTTACTTTATGTAAAAATAGAGTTTGCTTTTGTTAAAACCATTTTTTTTTTTTTTAATTTTATTTAGACATATAATATTCTGTCACAGGGACAATAATTATATTGATAAATGAACACATTCACACCGTATATACAAAAAAGAAACAAAATTAACAAAAGTAAAATAATAACTAAATAATAAAACCATTTAAAGAGGACTTTTGATTGGCTAAACTCAGCAGTGGGGGGAGATGGGAAGTGTTTTTTTTTTTTTTTTTGTGGCACAAAGCACTATGGCAAGGTTTATTGTACACACTAATTAGTGCCACTTTTAATCAGAGCATTACCTCAGTAGTCTGCAAACAAAGTAGGCCTGTCGGATTGACAAGTTCTTAAGTCTTTTGGTCAAGCAACCTATCATTCCCAAATAAACGGAATCTTAGCCCAGCAAACCTGTTGCACAAACAAGTGATAATGATCTAATTTCCTTTGATTAAAGTGAATAATTTTTTTTAAATCTAAAACTGCTAGATAAACACTGTACCCCTTAGCATAGACTATTATTTTAGACCAGATAACATTTACAAACCAATGGTAGTAATAAGTATAATGCTTAAATTTTCTATTTTCTATTTTTCTATTTAAATAACCATTCTAAGCAGAGAAATGTGGTATTTAGCAAGCTATTCTGAATGCAACTATTATTTCTTTCTTATCCTCTTCTGCATAGTTTCCTAAAGAGTTTTCCATTAATTTTGTTCATACTGTATACATTATAAGCGAAAGATGTATCTTTAGTTTCCATTCATTTAGCTGTCCATCTTAAACATACATGAAACTAAGTTATTCTAACATTCTTCTACGATGATTTTGGTTGTAAAAATCTTTTAAAAATAATCTCTTTAATCTTTTAGTTACACTCTCTTTTATTCTTCACCTTCAGGCATTAAAAATTCTGAATCTACGATCGTTATTCATGCAGTCTTGCCATTTTTTGTTCTATTAATAGCTACTTTTACCTCTTAAACCTATATGATATCATTATGTATACAAACTGTTCTTCTTCGTATGGTCTAGTCTCATTATAATTGAATTATAGTATTAGGTTATCCTAATGAAAAAAAAGAAAGAGTATTCTAGAAAGCATAACGTAACATAAACTTAATCCTGTTGAATAGATTCTTGATAATAGAAATTTACTGTATTCTCCTTACAGAGATGTAACTATTTGCTTAAGTCCAGAAAAACTATCTGAGAGACTGAGCGGTGACAATCATTGGTCAGGAACAGTGGAAAGGCTAGAACAGGAATCAGGAGATGAAGGGGAGGTAAATATATTGTTTTAAAGGTTTATAATATGTTTTACAATAAAAATGATTTAATCAATGAAAAAAAATGCACAAATATAAAATATATTTTTTTAATGGTTAAGAAATAGTTTACTAAAGGTAATATGGTTTGTATATTGGTTTTGATTCTTGAATAAAATTTGATTAAATTGGTATTAGACTATTAGTACACTATTTCTCATTTTTCCTCCAACTTTGGGCCAAATCAAAGAAGCCATTTTTGTTTATCATCACATATCAATCAAAATATATCTGTAAACAAAAGTATTTTTTGAAAGTGGTTGATGATATTTGTCGACATTGTCTATGATCATTTTTTGCTTAATCCCTAACTTCCCTGTGTGCGGTTTTTTAGATTTAGGCATATCAAAGAAAATATATTTGCTCACATGTAAGAGAAATAAAATCATATTTATATGGATTTCGATAAAATTCATTCAACATTATTTTTTCACTAACTCCTTACTTCCAATTATGAGACAAGTTCAAAAATAATCCGTTCACAAGTGCATAAGTAAAAGTCGTAATCTCTGAAAATTTCATTTAAATCAGATTAACGGTAATTGGTGATATGCCTGTCATATGGATTTGACTATAGAAATTTGTTTCTTGATGCTTGAAACGTAAAACATAAATGATTTTATTATGACGACAAAAGAAATTTTAAATCTCCCACCTTGATATAAAGCTTCCCTTTTTTCAGTATTAAGAAAGTGAAAGATAAAACCAATGACTCAATACAGCTTTTTATTATTAGTAACACTGAATGGTTTCTTTTATTGTTAAGTTGATGGTTACAGGTGTAAAAAATTAAAATAAATTAGTAACAAACTAACCAAGAGACAGAACATAAATGTAAGGTTATAACTGGAATAATTCCAAACCACACAGACTTTTATGTCTCCAAAATGGAGGCAAAGAAAAACATCCATCAGCGTTTCCCCAATTCAGGCATCATCAGGAAAGAAAAACAACAGTTTATCAAACATCATCCATTCGCATACTCAACACATTTTGGAGACATAAGGTTATATGGTTTGGAATTTTTCTAATGATATCCTAACGAAGGTGTATCAAATAGTAGTTTTTCAATTCCTTGTACCAATCACCAAATAATATAATCATCAGATTAAAAAATAAATAAATAAAAATTATTCGACTTGCAGAGCAGAGGTTGAGTTTAGTTAGACTGATCAGCACATGTTATTGTTTAGAAGTGACTGTAATTCAAATCTAATCAGAGCATAAGAATGGCAATATGTAGAGAAGTATTTTTCTACCTCCAACTTTACCGTTGAAAATGGCTCATCATTTGAAAATTTTAAAGCTGAATGCAAGCTGTAGAGAGGAAATTCCAGAAAACTAAAAAATAATGTTCAATTAATGATAAGGTACAGGTGAACAGGAGGATCGAATAATACATAAAACTTTTTTTGGTAGTTCATACTCGTGATTTTTCTTCATTAATTTCTGTTCTCTCCTTATTCTTTGCTCATACGTATAATTTAATAAAATTAACTCTCATAATTTACATTTTTTTATTTAAACATTTTGGGATATCCCTCTTAACCCTTTATAGAACAAGGGGACATATTTTCCCACTTGAGGAGCAGTATTCAAAACACTTATAGAATAAGCTCTAGTTCGTTGATGTAGGATTGTAAAACTTTAAGAAAAATAAAAAGATGTTACCCATATAAAGTGCACTAGCTGATTTAAGTTGAAATGGGTTGTATATGTCCCACTCTCCGTTCGATACCTCGGCATATAAATCCAGTGTTACTTATTTCATTATATTATGGGATAAGATTTTGAGACATACAGTTACAATTAATTAAAATAATGTACTATTTTAAGTTTTTATTATCATACTGAAATATTTTCGGTTTTCTCGACAAACCAACATAAAAAATTGATTGAAAACATTCTGGTTTGGGGGTTTATTGTTCTACTTGAATGGTCCTCAAATAATTTGTATTCTCAGTTTTAAAAAAATGCATTTATGTTTTACTCTTTGTTTCTTTAGGATGTCACATCCCAAATGCTTCCAAATGAAGGAGATTTTGGCATAAAAAGTCAAAGAAAAATCAGTAAGATGAGAACTGTTGGCCATCAGATTAGGTAAAAATTTTGAAATAATGTTTCATTGATTAACTTGTTATTGATTATCATCTAGGTAAGCATAAAATCACTTCCTAATTATTTTTTTAATTTTATTAATATCTTTTGAGAGCTCTTAGTAGAACTCATTAAAACAAGAGTTAATGTTCCATGTTGTTAAAAAACACATGCAGTAACACACAACAGTAACACATACTTTTCTCACTCACATGTTATCACTTTTGAGTAAACACACATTAAAAACATTACCCTAGTAAATAAACTTTGTGAGAATACATCAGTAGTACTAGCTGTATGAATAGGGAAAAAATTGCTTCTTTCATAGTTATTTTAAACATTTTTCCTTCTTTAACTTCTTATTTCAACATCAAGTTCTTGATTCAACCCGATCTTCACTAAGGATTTCAATCTTTCTTACTGAGTATTGATTTGTATTTTCTCTAATATAGGAATATAATGTTCTTCAAGTCTTTTCTCAAGTTTCACTCAACAAAATAGCTAAGCCAAGGTTTCATTCCAGTACTTTCTGTTTTTTATATCTACAAATATTTTACATTGGACTCATTATTTAGCCTTAAATCTATCTTGATAATTTACTGCTTCTTTACAAAATTTTAGATACATTAGCATTTCTTAAATATAGTGCATCAGCGGTCCATTGCATGACCGAGCCTGATAGTTTTTGAGATTCATCTGTTTCATTCCCATGAATATGATACACTTCTTCTCATTTTCCTGAGATCTTCAAGGGCATTATCTCTCCATGTACATCCTTTGACCTTCATCCATTTTGAGCAAGTAACCCATCAACGGTTATATCTCAAATCCCTGTTAATCGCCATATTTCCTCTCCATATAAGGTATACATTGGTTGTATAAAGAGTTATTTGCCATACTTTGTAATCACACTTCTATAGCTAGAGAATAGGATTGGATCACTCTTTCTCTTATGGATTAGAACAATGATCCCTTTAATCTAATAACAGGGTATTGATTCTTCTTTCCAAGATTGAATTTTTTTTGCTATGAACTTTTGCAGTTCATTTCCCTGTTCAGTCATTTTTTAAGGATTCTGCTGGTTGAGTATCTATTCGAAATGATTTAAATATATTTTAACAATTAAAAAACATTAAAAAAGCTAATACAGTTGATATTTGTCCAATGATCATTGGGTACTCGTGCTAATCTTTTATATAGTTTAATTATTTTGCCAATATTAATAAAGAAGGGCCTGCTTCATGGCAGTAAACACGGAATGTAACCAAAAGCATCACCCGCCCTCTATATATTGTCATTAACCAAATCATGTTTAAAATACTGAGAATTCGATGGCCTACCAATCCATTTAGAGACAAAAAAGCAAAAATGGAAATGGGTAGGGCACAGCCTGAGGAAAAAAAGACGACGCAATAGAAAAAACAGCCATGGAACCATCAAAGAAGAAGGAAGGGCACACCAAGAGAGACGTGGCACAGGTCTGCAGATAAGAAATTAGGCCAGGTTGGCAAATCATGGATCAAGGTAAGGAGGATTGCTACTGATAAGAGACAAATGGAAAGAACTTGTGGATGCCCTATGCTCTAGTGGGAATCAACGGAATTATTAATAATAAAGAAGGGGAGAAGATTTTGACTATTCCCTTGGTTGGCTCCTTTTCTTATTATAAAACAATTTTATTTTATCCCATTAATTCTAACAGTGCTGTTTGGTACATAAGTTAATTGTAGTGCAATTATTGAAATAAGGTGCACATTCCATTCTTTTTTGTTTTATTTTTTTCCTTGGCATAACATTAAAATCTGCTTTGATCTCTTTCAGTGGGCTTATGAGGTCAAAATGTATAAAGAAAGTCCTTCCATAATTTGGTAGGATATGTATCTCTTTGATCAACCATCTCGCTTCATTTTCTGTCTCTTTTTACAGATTTCAGTTATCCAATTTTGGTCAACTTTGAAAGATAATTTTTCTGCAATTAGTAAAGCGCTATTCCCTTTTCTATTGGAACTTTTGGAGAACTTGGAGAGAACTTAATATGCATTTCTGAATAGGGTGAATGATTTGGTTCAATAGTTATCTGCTGATTATTTCCATTAAAATAATAGTGATGGTAACCAAGATTCGATGTAAAATCAGCTAGTTTTAAAAATTTCTGTTACAATTTGTAAACTATTCTGGTGGATTATATTGAATTCTAGAGTTAAGTGGATAAAGAGAATAAGTCTATTTTTAGGAAAATTTTAATTATTGCTTACAATATCACATATATTCAATATTTGGTATATGACCAAGTTGATAGAGGCTTCCATTAACAATAATATCAGCCTTATAGTTGATAAAGGTAACTTGAATTCATTTTTTTTTTTAATTCAAAAATGTTACTATTCCACTTTGTCGGCTTTAATGATGTTAACATAAGTTGATGTTGTAATGTCATGTTTCTAGTATGAAAATAGTTCATAAGTATTAACAGTTATGTTAAAGAGAAGGTGAAACATTGTCGTATCTATTTCGTCCTTATAGTTTTACTAATTTACAGGTTCCTACGACGTTTAGAACTAAGTCTCAAAAGGAGTCGTGCCAGAGTAACTAGTCCTGAAAGACCACTGCTACCCACTAATGAACCTCGGGAACCTCGCGTAGCTAAGAGGTTATCCTGGCTTAGGGCACGTGGAGTAGTCAGTGATGGAACACCAGCTTCAAATGAATGGGATATGCCAGTTTCATTATCACATAGTGGTCATACTGACTAGCCCTCTCCTTGTCTCACCGCTTCACAACCAATATTATAATTTCTAAAATAGTTAATATTAATTCATTTAAACTATATTTAACGTGTAAAACGATTTATATTATGATCTATTGCATAGTAGTGACAAAGTTTGTTATTTTTTTAATTTATAATATCTGAAGTACTTACAGGTTTGTTGTTACCTTATTTAGTCAGTGATAATACTATTAAATTTATGTAGATTTTTAGGAATTACAATACTAATGTAGGTATTGATTACTAATATTGTTAACCTTTGTAGGAATTCAAGTAATTATCTCTTTAAATTTTGATGGTTAAAAGCCAAGACCTATATATTCTCACTATAACAGTCTTTCTCAATTAGAGTCAGTTAACTGGAAAAAATATAGAATAAATTAATAATGTAATATACCGTCTGTGAAATCATTTTATCTAGAACTGCGAAATTGTATATTTTTTTCATTCAAATCTTACATCTTAAGTAATTCTTGTGTTGAATAGCATTTTCAGATTTAGTTAATATACTTGATTATATTTATAAAGATTCTTTCTTAATAGAAGCCATTTTGTTGTGGAAGAATTTAAATTTACAAATCATTATTTTCTAATTTGTTATTCATACTTATTTTTATTTTAGTTTTTCAGCAATTTCTTTAATTCCCTAAAAATATTGTGTGATAAGAGACAAAATATTAATTTTTGTCTGTATTATTCTCTAAAACTATTTACTCATTTGAGATTATTATGTTTTTCAATCTTCTGTATTTACTTTTAAAACATAATTTAAAAATATTTTCCTCCAAAAAGAATCATTTTAAATTACAATTTCATCAACTACTTAAAAGATTTATTTTAATATTAATTGGTTTATGTCAATCTAAAATAAAATATTGCCAATATTGATACTTTAAACACACAGATAAATATTAAGTATTTATGTTTCTTATTACTTTCTGTAGGTTTTCAGGATGAATGAATTTATTTATTATCTAATGCGTTTTTCCATACTCCATAGTTTCATATAATACACTGTCAATAGTCCCAAATGAAAGGGTTGGAGATTTAATAATACAAAAGGAAAACCCAACTGTTTTTTCCAAATCCTCCACCAAAAAAAATCTTGTCCCTTGTTTGTGCCTCAGTTATAAAATAAATGGGGAAGTATTTTTCATATAAATGTCAATTGAATTCTAACAAATAATGCTTTTGTCAACACTTATATAATTTTAATGAAACAACTACATCACAGTGATTTATTGAAATATATTTAAAGCATATGCCATAATCTTTTTTGTGTCGTTGACAGTTTAATTTCCATTTATATAGTGAATATATAATCATAGTAGGGGAGGGGGCTGTTCATTGAACTCATATACGATGTGATTATTGCTGGGAAAAAAACAATTAAATTCTTCTGTTTCAGGCTGTCAAGCCTACTTCCTTTTCACTCACCTTTTTCCCCTAATCTTTATTAATGAATCTAACAGCTATATTTTTCATTATTATTGATCTTTATCAGCTTCATTCAATAATAAAAAAAAAAATTTCTAGCAATGTAATTTAGCATTCAGTTGACAAAATGGTTCCTTGTAGAAATTGGCTAATGACATAATTTCGAAATAACTTAAAACAGATTGACATACACTCATAGTATAGAGATAAAAAAGTATTCATCCTTCATTATTTGTTCTGGTTTCCAATAAATCAATAATTAAAACATCTACTGTCCATTAATGAGGTCATATGAAATGAATCCAGAAGTATTAAAAATATATATATGAAAAAATAGAAGTGTCTAATTTCCTTGGTATACACTTTTCTATTCAGATTTTTTTATTTGAGCAACTGGACAATTTTCTTTTGTGTGTATTGTGGACAGTTTTCTATAGGGCATTGATCTAATAACTAGTAAATTCTAGAGAATTTTTCATATTCTTCCTTTGAAATTAACCCTAACTCTTCTAAAGGTGGACTCTTGTGAGTATTGAGCAGATGGATCTTTCATTTTCATTCAAACATAAATATTTTAAAAACTTTGTGGTTATTAACATATTCCTTATCAGTTCCATTTATAAATCATGGAATTCTCAAGTTATATTTAAAGATTAAATAATTTAAAAATAAGATTTGTTATTGGGAATGTGTCAATTAAAATCAAACAAAAAAACATAGGAGCAAGAAATTTCATATTTGTACTGTCCCTTCTTTCAGATAGCATCCCTAAGTAGTAATTAGAGCTAAACTGTTAGCATGTGATATTCAAAACAATCTATAAATTATTGCCTATAATATCTTTAATATTTTAAAAGTTGATTTAATTGGCTGTATTTATTTTCCGATAATGTTATACAATATTAATAATAATTCCAATAATGGCGGATCTCTTATCCACTATTTCATTCTTAGGAAGCGGAGAGTGGAAGAATTTTGTCTATTTTAAAGACTGCACTGGTAAGCTAGTGGCTTTATTGACTAGATTAGTAAGCATATCTTAGCTTTTTCTTTCTAAGAAGTCTTGTATGTAACTATAACAAATTAAGCTTTGAATAGTTATCTGACTAGAGCTCTATGATAAATACTTGAACTATACAATCAAACACACAATTTGTATGCAATTGTGACCCCACGAGAAGCAATATTGTGCAATATAATGATAATGTAATGTAAATAATAAAATATAACTTTAGATTTGTGATCATAAGGCAAGGTTTGTGATAAATAAATTAGTTGGAGGGTACACAGCCATTGTTTATTATGTAATTATGTGCATATAATATTAAGTTATTTATAAGATATTTTGTAAATATTAAGTAAATATGTATATCTTTAAAAGTATTATTATAAATAAGCTTAAATTGAGCAAGTTGTTTATGAGATTATTTAAGAAAATGTAAATTTTTGATGAAATAATTTATATTAAATTCTAATGGAATTTAAAAATCCCAATTAAAATTTTTTCCCCAGAGTTGCTCATGGATTTTTGAAATTGGTCCTCTGAAAATTTAAAGTAGACTTGATCCATCATTTTTAACAAATCAGAAAGAAAAACCTTATTTTTCTCAAAATCTCTTTTTCTGAAATCATTTCATGATTGACATATTATTTTTTTTAATTTATATTTATCACTTGAATCCAACCCTTCAGGTGCAATGTATCTGAGAGATTAGATGACTTAAAAAAAAATTTGACCAAAATGGTTTTCGCCTCTTCATTAAACAATTTGCATGGCCTATTATTATTAACTCTTTTTTGTACTATTTTCCTGTCTCCTCTCTATGTAACAATAAATAACAATAGAGGTATTTAAAAATATTAAAAATTAATAACTTTGAAATGAGTAATTGGCTATTACATCATGCAATAAGCAGATTTTTTGGTAAATGCTAGATCAAGGAATGCATTGAGATAAAAAATTAAACTACTCCTAGATAGTTGGTTGGGAACTCACAAGCAACTGATTTTTTTTATAACATACCAGATAAAAATATGACTGTCACTTAATAGAGATTTTGAGAAAAATTCACTACCTTCTTTTTTGTTTTAAGTAAATCTTATCAACATACAACAATAACCTTGACCATTTTGCAACTCAGGGATAAGTTTTGTAAAATTATATATTAAAGAAGTACATTAAAACTTTAACTTCAATAAAAATGTCCCCATTTCAGAAGAAAGGGAATATGAGCCCATAATACTATCTGAACTATTTGAACTTGCTCAAGTAACATTGTTTATAATTAAAAGTTAAGGAAAGATCATACATTTTTTGTTTTAACTCATAAATAACACTTAATGAATAATAACTTTAGTTGAAAGCTTTATAATAGTTCCACTGTAGATTCTTGATAGGTATGTTCACTGTGTCTGCACTTCGCATTTTGAGCACTAAGCAATTATGGATCTGTACTGTACTAACCAAAATTTTATTACAAAAGTTAATGAGAAAACCCTCACCCAATCTATTACAAAACATGGAATTGCGTAATGAAAATTCTAAATCATTGTAAATTACTGTATATTGAAATCATGTCCAAATTATCCGCTTATTTTCATTGGTACTGTAGCCTAGAGTTATTGATTTTGGACCAAAACTCCTTTTATAATGTGTATAATAGTCACCAAACAAACACCCTTTGTATAAATAACTTTTTATAATCCTAAAAGAACAGATGTAATATAAAATTTCAACCATCAATCATAATTTATTCTTTTAAATGTTGATTGAAAAATCATTATAAATAGTAATTTTAATTAAACAACTAATAATAATGTAGAATGATTTTTTTTCTAAAGGAGAAAAAGATCTTTTAAAAAAATCAATGACTATCCTTAATTCAAAATTATGTTATTAAACCTTCAATTAAATTTATTTTCAAATTATTATCAAAAGTAGAGATTAAAATTTATTTTAAATTGAATATTTATATCATATCCTGTTCTTAAAAATGCTACGATTTTCAAATTATAAAACCTATCTTCCAATTTTTAGTTAAAATTAATTTTTTTGTGATAATAAGCCCGAACTTATTTTGTTAACAAAGTAGAAGATAAAAAAATTAATTTAATACTTTAAAAAATTTGGTCTGTGATTCATCTGAAGCAAATTTTTTTAGAAAATTCTTTGTTCATCGCAATGGTAGAGAGGAAGGAAGTATAGTATTCATAAATATTATAGTCATCAAAAATTGTAAATACTTCCGCAGTCTAATTACATTTGTTCAAATATAAAATTTTATCTTCTACTTTGACTATCTAAGCTTATTGTTTTGTGATATATATTTTTTCTATTCTGTATATATATGTGCTTACAAAAAAAGTTATAAATGCTTCTCTATTTTTTGAGATAATAAAAGTTATAACATGTTTCTCTAGTTTTTTTGTAAAGCAATCGCTTGAATGTTTTTTATATCTTGGCTCTATTTTTATACAGGTTTATACAAACTGTTTCTCTTTTGTTGGATTATATACTTTAAAAAAAGAATAAAGAATGGTCCAAACTTTGTGAAAACTTTACGGGTAAGGGAATTATCTCAGAAGTTTTCTGAATAATTATTGATTACTATTGGCACAATTTCTCAGTGTAGATTTTTTTTAGTGTTTAATAATTAAAATAAATTTTTTTCTTAAGAAAACCACATTTATTTTCCTTCTTGTTGGTTCATTAAATAAAACACTATAACTTGCATTTCATTGTTTTTTCATATATAGTACAAATAAGTTATTTTTTCTTTTTAATGTGCCACATAAGTTGTATACATCATGAGATATAGCTGTAAACATGTTGAAAAAAATAATTTTATTAGTATAAACTTAAAATGTGAAAAATAATCAATTTTTTTCAATATTCTGTGTAACCTCACCTCGCTTTTACATCTTTTTGTGTACTCCTAGACATGTTGGCTATTAAATTGGGGACTCTTGGTTATTAGATGTGGTCCAATGCTTCTAAGAGTGTGTTCTTGAGAAAACCTGAGATAAGTTACTAGATGTCCTGGGTTGAGCTGAACACCAGTAGCTGGAGCCAATGGTTGAAGATGAACTTCAGCAAGCCACCTCCACACTGTATCCATATAATGCTCACATTTCTGCCAATTCGAAGCTACAGTGTGGTTTTCGCAGACATCTGAAAGTGATTTTGGGGAGTTTTTATTGCACTATAGTAGTTGTCAGTGGGAACTGTTGCCCTTGGTCGGCCTAAACCTGGCCTCTCAGTCAAGTTACCGGTCTTACACCTGCCATCTGCCCCCCACATGATCCTTTCAGATAGCACTGATGTTCTGACCAAGTAACAAAGCAGTTCCCAATTTTAGCAGCTTTTCTGAGGAAAATACAGCTGATCATACATATAAGGGGAGGTGTGGTATCACAATATTTTAACAAAAATAATTATCATAGGTGATAAATATTCTGGAATATTTATTCTATAAAGGCCATTTTCTTATACTTTAGTTATCAAATTATTTGCATTCCACAAACAAAAATGTTAGCCTCTCTTACTTTGTTTACCTACCTTTGCTATATTAAAAACATCTAGAAAATCCTCCAACGACCCGTCCTCAATGTTTCCAGCTGTATCTTGTGGAATATAGACTTTATATGGTAGATACAAAAAAAAAATTAAATATTAATTTTTAAAAACTTAAAGAAATAAGTATAATATAATTGAATAATTGAAGAGAAGGATGGTTGAGGTGATCAGTCAATATAAAAAATAGCAAAAATAAATAATAATATTATTATAAAATAAATATTATTATTTATTTTTGCTAACTAACACCCCAAACATCCTTCTCTTCAATTATATATATGTATATAATTTTTTTAAAGTAACAAGTAAATTACTTTAGGTAAAAGGAGATAGTTTAACATGGAGTACTACCAGCAGAAGATCGAGGAGAAAGGATGTAATCTTATGCCGTCTTAGAATCAACCATTCTCTCATGACTATCTTCTTTGAGATTTAGAAGCCCCTATCTATGCTACCCCTTGGACAGTCATCCATATAATGGTTGAGTGCAATAGTATCCACCCAAAAAGAAGAATCTCAACATGAGCAAAACTCTATAAGAAATTCTACATATTTCAGAAACCAAACTAAACAATGAAAGTTAGTTTACAACTGGATCTAAAAACCCATAAAATTCCAATGAGCCGTCTAACAATAAAAGGAACAAATATTTTTATTCAAATGTGTAATTTAAGATGAAAATAAGTTTTTATTATACATTTTCGAAAAAATTACTCTTAGGTAACACATGATTTGGTTTCATAAAAATTGGTTAAAGGTCTTAAATAAATGGCCATTGATCCTGGTAATAATTAGTCAAGTTCCGATTGATTCAGATCCCTTAAATATGAACACATAGCAAGCTTATGTTGTTATAGTATGTCTGATTACTGATTGGAGCATAAACCTATCATACCAATAGAGAATTCACTTTGATAGAAATATTTTTTATTAATTTTATTTATTTAGACATAATAATCTGTCTCGTTGACAATAATTATAGTGATATATGAACACATTCACAATATATATATATATATGCAGAAAATATAAAATTAACAAAAGTAAAATAATAACTAAGTGATAATCAAAAAAACTATGTACAATAAAAAATAAAATAACCTAAAGATAAGTAAATTAAAAACACAGTCATATCTATATACAATCAGGCAGGGAACTCCAAGCCAGGCTTCTCCCTCCAACTATAGACAGAAAAGCAGGACTCTAAGAGATCCCTGCGCTACACTCTCAACCACGTCATTGGTGTTAAAGCCGGTGGAGTTTGAGCTGGAGCGCTTTAGACACATACACTCATGTCTTGAGTGCAGAATCTGGCCATTGCCAGAACTCCAAGATATATACTACAAAAGATCTCTGGGCCACTACCGCTTCAACCTTCGAGGAGGATTGTAGGGATGAGTGGAACTAGATAGGGATTGTGCCAGGGGATTTGGATGATTGATAAGGTTCTGATGGAATTTGGAAAATTTTCCAGGGATAAGGTCAAGGATAAATGGGATATTAAGGTCATGATGTAGGGTTTTGTTGGTTACATAGAACGGAGCATCGACTATTGTTCGGAGGACTTAGGACTGAAAGGATTGGATGCGTTTGATGATAAAAAAAATTGCTGTCACCCAAAGTTCAAGTCCGTAGGTCCAAATAGGTTTCAGGATTGTCTTGTAGAGCAGTAATTTGTTGTCCATTGAAAGTTGAGATTTTCTAGTCAGTAGTCTGTATAATTGGCAGTATCATCGGTTTAGTTCTTGTCTTTTAAGTCTAGTATGTGGGTTTCACGTTAGTCTTCGGTCCAAAAGAAAGCCAAGATACCGGACTGTGTCTGAAAAAGGAAGCTGGATGGAATTAAAGTGAACTGATGGACAGGAACTGTGCCAGATTGTAAAGGTAATGTGTTTGCATTTGGATTTGTTTGCTTTGATGCGCCATTTGTTACACCAATGCTCAATCAGAAAGAGGTGTCTTTGTAGATTTAAAGATGCTATTTTGGGATCTGAGTTGAATGATGTCAGCAAATGTTGCCAGGAACGTATCGGGATGGACAGAGATACCAGCGGTAAAAAGAATATAAAGGACGGGCCCAAGACGTTCCCTTGAGGAACACCGGCTTCAACTGGGTAGTAGTTGGAAAATTCTGTACTACAGCGAGCCCAAAAGGTGCGATCAGAGAGGTAGGAGCGGAGGATTATGCACAAGGACTGGGGTAGATGGGTTTTCAGCTTGGAAAGAAGCCCGGCGTGCCATGCCCGGTAAAAAGCTTGAGCTATGTCCAGAAATGCACCCGAGCAATATTGCCTGCTTTCCAGTGCTGCGGAAATATGATCGAACACTCGGAGTCATTATTGGACTGTGGAGTGTTGTGAACGAAATCCAAACTGATAGGGAGGAAGATTTTGGGATTCTATAAAGGGTAGGATTCGTTTCAGGAGGGTCTTTTTAAAGATTTTTGAAAGGATTGGAAGTAGGCTAATTGGTCTGTAGGAAGTAGAGGTGTTGGGAGGTTTGCCTGGTTTCGGAAACAGGATAATAGTGGAATGTTTCCACAAAAGAGGAAAGTAGGTGGTTCTTAGGATGGTATTATATAGATGAGAAATATAACAGCTTTAAGAGGAAGTTGTCTAAGGATTTGAGAGGTAAGGTCGTATCCAGGAGATTTAGGGAGAGGAAGTTTTTGTAAGTGTTGTTTGACCTCAGAAGGATTAACTGCTTTAGGGGGTAAGGAAAGTGGAATGGGTGATGTAAGGAATTCTTCTACTGTTGTGGAATGGGTGGGGTTGGATTCCGGACGTGAGGTGAATGTTCTGGAGATGTGTCTGGCGAATTCCTCAGCTTTATCTTCATCAGACGCTGCCCAGGAACCATCACATCAATGGAGGGGATGGGAAATATGATGGGATTTAAGGATTTTGTTGGTGATCTTCCATAGAGAATTGTCGTGAACGGAGAGGGAAGTAAGGTAGGAGTTGAAGGATTGGGATTTGAAGGTGGCCAATTCCTGCTTTAATTGTTTACTGTAATAAATATAAGAGCGCCGATCGTTGGGGTGTCTTGAACGTTGCCATAATATTCGGGCACGGCATTTTATGTGAATTAGGTCTAGCAGGTATTGAGGTAAGTTATTTTTCTTAGGATTTTTTGTGGAGAGATTTGGGGAGAAAGTCCAGATTGCTTGCTGAATAGTGCTGGTAAAGGAACGTATGGAATTATCGAGGTCTTCTGGAATTATTAGGGATATTCTGAGGTCAATTTTATCGGAAAGGGTTTGATGAAAGTTTGCAGTTAACTGGGCCTCTGATGAAGGACGGTGAATGGTGTTTAGGAATAGGAGCTATTGATAATTGAAGTATTAATGGACTATGATCTGAGGAAAGTTCATCAAGACGGGTAAGGGAATGATTGAGGGGACCTAAACCACTGTGGAAGAAAAAATCAAGGATACCAGGATTGCGGTTAGGATCTGTGGAGCAGTAGGTAGGTGAGTTGGGTGGAAGGAGGCTGAAATGTTGATGATTGAGTGCAGACAGCAATGTTCTGCCACGAGAAATAGAGATTCTTGAATCCCATTCTTGATTCTAAAATAGCAGTTGATTGTAGGAAATCATGAGTAGGCAATGGAAATAAGTGATGAGAGAGGGATTGGTGTACAATGACAGCAGTACCGGCATGTGCTTTACTGTTAGGATGGTTAGTACGATATGTTATGTGCTGTGGAATTTTTAAATGCTGTTTTTTGGTCAATCGAGTTTCTGTAATTAGAGTTATGTCGATGCTCTTGTCTAGTAGTAAAGCTGTTAGTTCGTCAACGTGATTTCTAACACTGTTCGTCAACGTGATTTCTAACACCATTCACATTTCAAAGGAGAATAGATATGTTTTTGGTGAGTCATTTAAGGATTTTTCACAGGAGGGATGAGGTGAGATACAAGATTTGTAAGGAGTGATATGAGTGGAGTAACCATTGATTTGAATTCAATGAGGAATGATGACAACAAACTGGTGAGATCTGTGGCATTTGAGGGAGGAGGAATATGAGAAATTTGAGGTTGTTGATGATTATGTATGTTAGGATGAGCAGGATATTGAGGTTGGGGTTGAGGTAGTTGCTGCGGCAGAGCTTCACATTTATTAATTGGGTTCTTACCTCCAAGTAGTTCGGAAAATGATAGATTATTATTAACAATTCTAGAAGGTTCTCTTCTTGGTCTGATTATCTCATCTTGAATCCGGTTCTTCTGGTATCTGGATTTGAGGTTCTTATAAGTTTGACAGCCTTTGTAGTTGGCCGGGTGTCCCTCTAGGCATAGGGCATAATAAACTGCAGGATCTTGTATCGCTTTGGTGAACTCTGCTAATTTGTGTTGTTCACCGCATTTCACGCAACACGGCATGTGATGACAATAAGTCTTCGTGTCAGCAATTGTGGCACTGCACAATTTCCCTCTTAGGTAGTGGAACTTTATCTTTTACTCCTGGCTGCTCCTTATTCTCCTTCAGAACGTTGGTTACCTGACGTACTTTGAAACCAAGCAACGTTATTTCTTCTTTTATCCCATCAGTTGGGATTGAGGAGTGCAAATTTCTTATCACCACTCATAACGATCTTTCCTGTTTCAGCTGGTACCTATGAAAATTTTCATTCGTTTCTGACAGGTACTTCACAATTTTTCGGTTGGTTTCTGCAGTATCTGGTGTTATTTTTGTTTTGTTGGTCCTATTAAGGCAAGAATAACTGCCAGGGAAGAGTTTGTTTAGTTGTGTACACAATAATTGTAAATTTTTTACAAATATCGGAGGCCTTGGTTCGCTGGGTATTGCTGCTGACTCCATTACTTCTCTGTCATTCTGAAGCACTTGGAACGGGTTTGGAGTAAAGAAAGGGGATTCTTCAACCATTTCTTGCGAAGGCGTATTGACGTATACAGGTTGAGGCTGAGTTCTGGATCTGGAGTGTTGACTGTGGTTATTGGAGTGGATTCTCATGGGCAGGGATGAGTTGTTTGTTTGGCTAGTGAAGCATGAGGGGTACTAACTCTATCTGACCGAGTCCTCTTAGTGGGCATCTTACTGGACATCACTTGGTGACAATACGGCATATCATAAGAGAAGAAAATGAAAAAAAATAAAAAATTAAAAAAAATATACATCAAACAGTAAATATCAACTGCTCTGATGTACACTTGAACTGTATTCAGTGAATAATCAGAGAGATTCCGCTGAAAAATAGGCAAAAACTAAGGGACCAGTTGAGAGTACAACCTTCGCATCAGCTGATCCACTTTTTTATTAATTAAACTGTAACTAAATTACACAATACTACTTAAGACTCCTACAGACAATTAACTTATTCCTCAATCTTGCTGTAAACATGCCGTGTTGAAGATGCTGAACATCTTTGAACGCTTGGTTGATCATGTTGAAAACTGTTGAAGTATATCAGGCTAAATTGATCTTACATCTACAGGGCGTGTTGGCAACTAAGCTGATCGATCGTCAGTAGGCAAGTTTAGTCCAATTATTCTCCGCTCTAACTTTTAATTTTGTATGTTAAAAATTAAAAAATTGGGTACAGTACGTGCTTCACACAACTTTTATTTACCACTCTACTTTCATTAGGTAAGTAAAAGTAAAAATTCTAGAAGATTTAGCATTATTAGTTAAAACAATTAATTACCCTATATTTTTCTCAACCATAAAATCTGTTAAATTTACTTATAATGCTGTTATGCTTGTTCATCACCAATTACTTTCTATGAATGCATGACTGTATATACTATTTTTATTTTTGTATAAGTTATCATTGGAATTATCTTGTAATTTATATTTATCAATCATAGTAACTTTTTTTAAATTTTATTTCTACTTAACAAACATTGTAATTGAACAAAAAAATCAATATTTTTTTATATCTGTCAGCTGAAGTCAGTTTTTAACCACCAATGTTTTCCTTTCTTGCTAAATAACTATCGACATTTCTTATGTATTCAAAGTTTTTATATAAGCACTAACTTAATTTATTTCTCATGAGAGTCATGCCAGAAAACCGGGGCATTCACTACTCGTTAGAAATTAAAAAAAAATACAAATAATTGATTTTAGCCAATTAATAAACTGTATTAAAGAAATATTGAATGAAACAAAATTCAAATGTTATATAATATAAAACAGCTTAAGAAAAAAAAATTTTTTTGGGGAGGAGGGGGAGAAAGGGAGAGATGATGTCATGTAGATCATATTATACCGGTTAAAAACTTTTCAGGTCACTAAAGAGAATTTATAACTTCTCGACTACGCTCTTGGCCTTTGTTAATACCCAGTACTACCTTACAATACCTTATTCATCCTTTAGTTAATTATCAAATTATTTAATAGTTTATATTTATCCATTGTTATTGATAGTTACAATACAAAATGGTCAATTTCTTTAAATAAATAAAATTAAAAATACTTTAGAGGAAGTCGTTTTGATCAATCATAATTTAAGCTGTTTGCCTATTAAGAAGAGAAAAGTATGGTAAGGCACCTTGATTGTTTGGAATTCCAAATGTGGCACTTAAAAAGTAGCTTGAACTTTTTAATATCTCCCTTCATGAAGGTTAGTTCCCCATATCTTGGAAGAGGGTCTTGAATATTGAATATGAATACCTCATGAAATGTATAGGTGATATATATATAAAAAAAAATGCTGTATAAGAACCAATCAAAACAAATATATTTCTATAATTTTAATATTTATCAAAACTAATGTTAAAAAAAAAACATTAATTCATTTATATAGACATGTTTATATATATTTTTTGTTTTTACAAGTTACAACCTAGTACAATTGTGGTGATAAATTTCTTATTACCACAAAAAAACAGAAAGGCTTACTTTTAATGTTGCAGAGAAAGAGGATGGAACTAATTTAAAACTTGGTATTATACTTTTTCTACTAGAAACAAATGATATCATTTGAATCTTTTCTTAAATGAAAATGTAAATTGTTATACAGAACTAAAAATAAATATCAGATATATTATTTACAAATGTAATTATTACAGATGGTAGGCAAATATAATTAATATTGAACATAAATCTTTAATTTTAGTATTTTCAAACTCTTCAAATTTATAAGCAACAAAACTTTCCTACTTTTATTTTGTTAGCTATGCATGTGGATAAAAGAGATATACACATTGATTTGTTTATAGATAATATAATAAATCATAAGAGATACAGAAGTAAAAGTAATGCATTTCAGTTGCAAATACTTCATGGTAGAAGTGGTATTCATGATCTGTATACAAAATTCTAAATGGATTTTAAAAATTTATTTATTAGAGCCACTTGTGTTCATTTATACAGCATAGCGCCAGCGGTCTAAAAACAACTTTTCAGTACACATACATGTTTAAAATTTTTATAAAACAGCAGTGTGAGCTACAAAGGAAAGACAGAAAAATCAATACAAATTATACATCGAAAGAATAAATACTTATAGTATTGAGCATGCCTGGATTTCCAGTGCTACATTAAATAAGATATCTTAGTGGCTTGGCCTGAGGTGATGTCTTCTTCAGTCGCTCCACAAGATTTCTTTACATACTGTGGATTTACAAGAATTTCTTCTTCCATTTTCTGTATCCTACGATCTAATTCAGTGCAGAGTGTCATCTGTTAAACAAAAAAATGAGTTCAATAACAACTTATACATACTTAAATATCAATAGTTTTTAAAATAATTTAATTTTGTAATTCTAAGTAAATTTATTGTTTTAGTTCTAACTAATTACAATTTAGGGAAAAAAAAAAAGTGAAAACCCTGTTTAAATTCTTTTATATCGCCCATATTTTTAGCTTTTTTAAAAATGAATATATCTGTCTTGGTATTATACCCAATCAAAGGAAGTTTCATCAATGTTAAAAATTTGTTCCAGCAACTTCTTTGAGTGCTATTTCCAAATTATCTTTGAATATCTCAGCAGCTTTCAAATACACCACTCTTATGCTATTTTATTTTTCGTTTCTAGGCCTATTGTCTTTCTTCCATTTTTAGAAATATTAAATGTTGATGTTATATAAGATTTAATAAATTAAAAAGATTAACCTCATCTTCAAGACGACAGAGCATGGCAGGGCTATTATATTTTTCGGGATCATCGTGAAATATAACCATACCATCTTTCTGGTTAATTGCAGCAAATATTTCACCATCTTCAATCTGTAAACAAATACATTCATGAATTACTATTTAATACTTTTGTGAATTCATTTTGCATGTACCTCAAGAACATTTTATAGAAACCACATGTTAATACAAAAGCTTACATATACATAACAATAAATAACATTAAAAAATGTATGTTGAAGAGAAGTTAAGTGGGATGTTCAGTCACTAACGTCTCTTCAATATACCTACGATATTCAGCTATCAATCCAATATTATAAAAAATATGTATGGTTTAAAATTCATACCATATGAAGAACATATTTTTCCGCTTCTGCTGGACCATTCAGCTGAACCCTACTGGCAACATCAGATAAGGAAAGAGTTAAGAAAGTCTTTGTCAACCTCTGAATATTTTTCTTATAAAGTGAGGCTACAACTTGTTTAGTAAGGCCCATATTATCATCCCTGGATAATCAATGTTTATTATATGAATATATACTATATAATAAGATAATAACTCAATTGTCTGTTATTTCTTTAACAGAATAATTAACCTTACTAACCTGGTAAAGGTTTCTGCATATTTAGTAACAATCTGTCGTAATTCTTCGGTGCTGTTAGTAGCATAAACATTAGCCAATTCATGATAGGCCTGACTTAAAGGCTTTATAAACCTTCCAACAACTTGGGAAACATATTTAGGTATTGGCAAAACCTGCAAATTTAAGTATTTCAATATCTTTCTAGCTAATATCTTTTTAAAAGATTTTAATAAATAACTTTTATGATATAACTTTGAAATTCAAGGAGTAAAAATCTCCAGTTTTTCTTTATCAACAGAGATAGGGATAACATTAAAAAACATTTAAAATATTTAAGGAATTTGATAAAACATTAATCTCTAGATATGTAAAATATGATCACAATTGAAATGTCATACAACATTTAAATGGTTTATAAGAATTTATTTTTAAAAATGGCCTTACTTTCCCATGAAGTATAAGTGAAATCAATATGTATTTCTTATAAGCTTCTAACATAATATGTGAAACGGCCATAGCAGGAGTAGAAATTACAACTTCAAACATATAGAGAGCTCTTTCATAGTTTTTCACAGCAGCATATATCATGCCTCCATAATAATAATAAAGAAGAAAATATTTAGCATCAAACTGAACACCCTGAAAAATAAATAAATAAATACACATATCAATAAATTAAATAAATATTTGCGGAATTCTGAATTTTCCAGGCCATTTTTAGAAAAATTCCAGGTCATCAAAATAGTTGTAGCAGGATAAATATATATTTTTTAAATATCCTTATTATTTCAACATTAAGTTTTCCAACTGATTGATGTAGCTGTTATAAATACTAGTGCTCAGAAATCGACTACAATCATTATTGAAAATTTGAGAAAAACATATATGAATTTGCATTTTTACATTTGTTTTCCTGCTACATTTGGACATACACTTTTATATGTAATCACAATTCAAAACAGTTCTGTGCCATTTGAGTTATTCACAATTAAAATTATCAGCATATCTCTTTTTTGCCCAATCTGGGAGATATACTCCATCAACGACAATCTAGGTCTTCCTCTTAGGCGCTTTCCTAAGAGTTTTGCCTTCCATGAATTCTCCTGGGTCACGGTCTTATGAGGATAAGAGATATAAGGGCTCAAACTTGGGATTCATGGATCGAGGCACCTTCACACTGAAAGGCACAAAGGAGGTAGAGAAAGAAGAAGAGACAAATAAAATTCTGAATCAATTGTTACTTTTTCAGTCTCTTTTCGGGGAAGTATTATTATTATTAGTTGGCTTAAAGCATCGTGACCCTTGAAGGATCTATTGTGCGCCATGCCATGTATGCAGTTCGTTTTATTCTTAAAACGTTATTTTTGTCACTTCAGGGTATCTTAATAGGCTTGTTGGATTGACAGTCTCATAGCAACTGGGGCGATCCATCCGTTCTTCCCCAAAGAGTTCCAGTCTAAGCCTAGCAAATTTATCACATCGACAGACTATGTGAAAGGGTATTTCATTCTCCTGACAGAATCTATCTAGCGGGTTCGGGGAAGTATGTTATATACATAAATAATAAATAAAGGCTTCCAGGAGAAGACTTTAGCCAAGTTTCATTAAAATCATAGCAGATGTTTTGGCGTACAGTCTATGGCAACACAGGTTTTTCGGCTGCCATTTCAAAATGATAGGCTGCACGGTAATGAAATGTATAGAAAAACACTCCTAAATTTGATTTCAATAGTGTATCAAAATTTCAAAGCAATCAGTGAAGAAATTTTGGAAATTAACAGTTTAGAACAAACTAGCATTTATATACATTGTTTCCAAACATTTTTTATTGATAACACTAAAGCTTGTCAAAAGGCACTGAACTGTTTTGTCTTTGCCTATTTATATAGTGATTAACACAATAAATGAATGGTACTAAATTAGAAAGAGAGATTTCATTCATTACAAGAGTAAGATAATCAATGAGCATAACTATTATAAAAAGCTACAGAAGTTATCTTAAACTGTAGAATGTAATGAAAGTCATCTTAAATTTAAACTGTATCAACTAACTTCCAAAAACAGTGATTCCCTGATTGTGACACAGCTATATAAATTAGTAGAAAAACTTAATGTTGAAATGAAATAACAAGATATTCAATTCAATAGTTCTCATAGAAGAGCAAATCCTTTTTTCAGAATTGACCGAAAAATATAACAATTTCTAAATAATTTTATCAGCATAGTCAGTTGATTGGCGATATCTAATTTATTTTCAACCTTCTATGGATTTTACACAGCAAGGATGTACACAGCAGTTGGATGTTACATTCAGTAAAATCTTACTGCTGCTAGTAAAACAATTTATAATTGTAGCAGCAACTTAGCATAAAAAAATTGTTTTAAAACCAAACAGATTTTAACTAGAGTGGGAATTCAATTCATTGCTCCACATAAATAAAGTTCAACTCGAATGAGTCGGTTTTAAACTAGTATCATTAGACTTCAGAATATTAAAGTGGACAACACCCCAATACACTCAGCAATCACAGCCTAAATTTTCCCATTGTTGTTCCAAAGACGGCGCACAATAATATGCTCAGCAGTCTCCAGGACTCTGCAGTGACAGCATAGGAAGTCAATGGTTTCTCTATGGTCATAAAGCTTAACTCGTATGCTACTATTCCTTGATAATGTGATTCTATTTGCTGCAGTCCTCTTTAATTCATATCTTCCACTTAAACCTGCAGAGCTCTATCTTTAAAAAGAACATTTCATGATATTTTCCTACAGAACAAGGTTCAGAGGTACCATTCCCACAAGGACATCTCATGAGACACAATCCAGTACATTTTGGCAACTTGAAGCAAACCTGTTCTTTCACTACATTTAACTACCAACAATAAGCTAATGAAGTTAGTATTACCAGCTTCATAGTGGGTCAGAGAAATCGCTAAGAAACAAAAAACTTTTACAGATAAGTAAATTAAAATTTTCTTTAAAAATATGTTAAAGGAACTCATTGAAGAGTTAAAAAATAAAGCTGACACGTGTGCACATCAAATGTTACAAACATTTTGTTCTTCTTTTTAATCATTTCCTCTTCTACCGCTGAGCGGTGTGAGGAGAACATTTTGTTATAAATGCACTTTGTTCTCATTACTTCAAATTCTTGCAAATTACAAGTTCATATATATTTAGACACAAATATTTATAATAGTGTATTGGTTATCCAATAAATTACAATAAAAATAATATTTTAAAATAACTTTGACTCTTTAGCATCTAAAGTTTGCCAACCACTGGGCTAGATGATGGAAAACTTAAAATTAATGCCTTGTCATTTATGAAAACTCAAATTTTAAATATACCTTTACTGATAATAAATAATGTAATTTTATAATACATGTACCTACCTCTTGGATAGAAATAGATGTTATATCAATATCTAAAAACTTAAGTGCAGGCTTAAAACATTTTGCCAAAAGGCAAAGTTGACACAAATCCGCATGAACTAAAGTTAAATGAGAATCACTTGTCTGTAGTTTTTTTATAGCAATTGAAATCAGTTCAATCCCTCTCATTGGTGATTTAGCTTCAACTAATTGTTGTGTTACCATGTGGCAAAGTTCGGCAACTGTGAAACAAAATTATCTTATCAACAACTTTGATGAAATGATTTATAGCAAAATGATAAAAAAGTTATAATACAAATCTTTTTAAAATGTGGTGATAAAAACTTCATAAAACATTTGGAACATGGAACCTACATAAATTCAACAACAAATTATCTAAAATTGATTCAATAGCAAAGAATAGTTTCACTCATGTACTCATTCTCTTAAAAAAACTAAATAAATCTACCCCTTTGAATCTAAAGAGAACTATTGGTGGTACCTTTGGCCCAGGAATAAGACCCAGCTCTTGAATAATACATTTTTATTTCTTTACACCTACAATTGCTTCTGATGAAATAATTTATATTTATTTAAAAATTCAAAACAAATTACATTTTCCTGTATCTCAGAAACATGTTTGCTTGTATTCGTTACTGAAAATTCCCCTAAAAATAACAAACTGTTTACATTTAATGGATTATTCATCAGTATAAATGTCAACACTTATTAAGCCTCTTTTAAACGATAATTTTTTTTACCTCTGTAGCATTTAGCTGCTAAGAAATAATTAAGTCTTTACTAAGATGTTCAACGGTGATTCCAAAAATTTCGGGAGGGAGACTTCAGCCTTGAAGACAAAGAAGGTCATGGAAGGCCTTCTTCTCTTGATGACGATGTTCTGCGGGCTTTGGAGGAAGAAAACTGCAGAACAACTGTTCGAGAACTTGCAGGGAAACTTAATCTTAGCAAATCAACCGTCGACGACCACCTCAGTAGGGTTCCACACACATTAAACAACCGCCAAAAAAAAATTATGAAGTTTGTACTACACTTCTTTGCCGAAACAAAAACAACCCTTTTCTGTCCAGAATTGTTACTTGTGATGAAAAGTGGATACTTTACGATAACAGCAGACATTCTGGTCAGTGGCTCTACAAAGGAGAAGCATCAGAACATCTTCCAACTCAAAAGAAAAAGGTGATGGTTACTGTTTGGTTGGCTGCATTTGGTTTGATACACTACAGCTTCTTAAATTCTAGAGAAACCATCAATGCCAAAACGTATTATAATCAAGTTAATGCAATGCATCAGAAATTGAATGAAGCCATCTTTGGTCAATCGGAAGGGGTACATTTTGTTGCATGACAACATCCAGCCACATGTTTCAAGTATGACGTCACAAAAACTGCAGGAGCTTGGATATGAAACTGTCTCATGCCCTACTCTCTAGATCTCTCGCCTACGGATTATCATTTTTTAGACGCCTGGCACTACTTACATGACGAAAAATATAAAGGATAAAGGAAATTAGAAAATGCGTTTTTGGAGTTTATTATTTCTAAAGATGAGAAATTCTATTCCGAGGGAATGGAAAAGTTGCCGTCACGTTGGCAGAAATGTATTTATAGTAGCGGAGAATACTTTGATTAAATAAAACAGTTGTAGATCTTTCTGTTTTCTTTTTAAACCAAAATCCTACATTACTTTCTGGACAACCCAATATCTCCATTTTTGCTAAGAAATTCCGTATCATTCCTGAATTCCTGACCAACAAACTGGATTTTGACTGACCACAGATTTATACGGAGCATTCTTTAGCAAAAGTTGAAAAATAAATTAATTAAAAACTGGAACATAATGCTGCTACTGCTACGAAGTTAATCGACTGTTCAAAGGCCTTCCATTCTGTTTCTCAATCTACATTATTTCCAAAATTGAAAAGTTTGCAGTTCCCAGAACAGTTGTATTATATTTTGCAATCTTTTCTCAATGGCCAAAGCCTTACTGTACTTGTTAGTGACAGTTATTCGAAGATAATACACTTGACATGTGAAGTATCTCAAGGTGTGGTTCTTGTACCAACCTTATTCAACATATACAATGCTGAAATAATTGAAAAAAATTATATGTTGGCATTTATAATGATATATTGAGACAACATTGCTGTATACAGTAATAGTATGAATGCTATAAAAGCATTGAAACAAGTGAAAAAGACCTGTAATATCATACAAAAACAAACTAAAATTACTATACAGGGAAATTTAACAAAAACTGATTTTATATCTTTTCATTTAAAAAAATATGAAAAAATTACCAAAATAATTTTGAGTTCATTATTAGTCCAACAAAATATCAAACAATTGGGTCTTTCTGGGAATGAAATTTGTAGATATTTGAAATTTACTGAAATTATATATCTCGTTGCAATCTTTAATAAACACAGAATTTAATATTCTTACATTCCTACTGGTTTCTTGGCGATACCAAAATATAGATACAAGTTACATTTTAAGCTAGATTTGGAAGGAAAAGCAAATGAAAATAGAGGTGACACCCATTACTCTGATTGACAGCCAAAAAATAAAGATTACAACAGAATAGAGAATAGACTGATCAGAAAGACCTTGAAATGCATCTAAGATACAATAAAAAGAAATTTATCAGAAGATATTAAAGACAAACCTAAGAAACTGAGGTATGAAAAGAAAAATTTTCGCGTGCAATTTAAAAGAATATCATATCTATTTCCAGCCATCTCATTACGGTTTGGATTAAGAATAAACAAAGCAAACATAATTGTGCAAAAAATAATGAACCAGGCTCAGATTTCTTTAAGGTGAGAAGAGAGAATTATAGTTTTCATTGAGAATTAAACTATTACTCTCAAATATAAATTATAGTCAGTGGTACAGACCCCTTTTTATCGAATTATTAACATCCGCCTGAAACTTGGCAAATAGTTTCACCTCATCGTAACCTACAACTATTTTTAAACTCTTGGAATTTGGGCGTTTTCAATCTGGAGGGGGGGCAAACTTTGTATATTTAATTAGGTCTACTTGGATCGTAAGATAATTTGATCACAAAATCGATAACAGAGATGGCCTACAAAAATATTGGGCCATTTGTATATAACTTATATAACTTCGTTATTTTGAAAATTTGGGGGTGTATGTCACGCCAAATGGCTCAATATTTATGAAGGCCACCTTTGTTATCGATTTTGTGATCAAATTATCTTACCATCCAAGTAGAAAGCAAATGTGTATTTACGAGTTTTTAGTACCTAATTAAATAGACAAAGTTTCCCCCCTCCAGATTGAAAACGCCCTAATTCCAAGAGTTTAAAAATAGTTGTAGGTTACGATGAGATGAAACTATTTACGAAGTTTCAGGTGGATGTTAATAATTCCATAAAAAGGGGTCTGTACCACAGACTATTAGGTTAACTTTCTAGCATTAAATTTTTTAAAACGAATAGCTTCATAACACAATTTTTTCCCCATAATCCCAATAATACAACAATTGAATGAATTATGACATTTGAAAATTTATGCATTGAACACCTTTTACTATATTACAGTTTAAGACCTTATTATAATTGTAAGTGTTTATATTTTGTTGTAAACAATAATTATTAAAGTTAACAGTAAGGTGATTGATGGGGCTCACCAATTTTTGTGACACAAAAATAAATAAATACAAGATTGCATATAGTCATACACAAAAAAAAAAAAAATAAGTAAATAATAATATCAGTACAAGATGCTGGGATAAAAATAATCAATAGAGCTTGGAGAAAAAAGTAGCAGTGCAGAATTAAATAATAGATAAATGTGATTTTAGTCTATGGTATATTTAAATCCAAAAGGTCAATAGAAATAAAGAGTATAGACATTTAAAGGTATTAAATCTTAAAAATTTCCTAAATAACAATATATATCATCTGTATATTGCAAAAAATCACTTAAGTACATTTTTGGAGCTAAACTTTCAAGCACTTGTTTGTTAGTTTTGATCTTACTCATCGATACAAAATACAGTAAGTGCAAAATGTTCTGATTTCATAGAGTGAAAATTAATTAAGGCATTTAATGATTAAGGTACTACTTTAAAAATGCTACTCCACTTTGATGAAAGCACACAAAATCTTCATGGTGATCTCACGATAAATGAAACTTGAAGAATTATTGACAATGGGTTCAGGGGTATGATCACACTTTATTTAGATCATGATTCACAACTTCAACAAATTCCCAACAGATCCTTATGAGATAAAATTGGGACAAAAATATGCTTTAATTACATCACTGTTTTTAACTTCTGCTCGCTCAAAAAGTATAAACAAAGCTCCAATGGGTTCTTATCAATTGATGTTGGGGCTTTAACAGACCCTTCTGTCACCTGTCTACACTCAGCCATTTATTGAATTCCTTTTATAATGTGATAACGAGATCTCGTGCCCACCCATCATAGTTGTAAAGTAATGCCATAATTTAAATTTATTAAATGTTATTTATTGGTAAATATAAAAAATTCAAAATATCCACATGGTAACTGGGTTATTAAACATAATCATGGCTCTATAAATACTTCAACAAATAAAAAAGAAGAAATATTACGAACGTCACTACAATTTCTGAGATTAAAACAACTTAACAGAATACCTCCATTGTAATATACAAAATATTTTATAAGATAAAATACATACAAACATCAGGGGCATATCTGATTTGCTCTGCAACACAACTTGAAATAAATTCTTGAACTTGTGTGAAACGAATCTCTTGGTAGTCTGCAGGTTGAGTTTGGTTAGTGTTTGATGCTGGTGAAGGTGGTGGAAGTGATAGTTTTATGATGAGGACAGAGAGCATTCCAAGAGAATGTTGTTGTAAGCATTCAAGAACTGCATCAAGATGTTGTCCATTTTTAATTAAAATATCAGTTGACTTACAAAGTAACTCACATAAGTCTCTGAAGTTACCTGCAACATATATCAATGTGTTGTAAATAAATAATACAGAATATTTTGAGTAATTAATTTGGAAAACTTACCTTGTGAAGATAAAGTTCTAACGCTGTGAACAAATTGCTCTAAAGGAGAAGCCATTTCATTAAATTACATGAACATAAAAATAACTTTGAAAATGTGGACATCAATCCATAATTTATAAAAATGTTTAATAATTAATAGTAGCTCGAGGGTATCGAAATGGTTGAGACAATTCAAATTTCAGTCGGCAAACCACGAAGATACAAATCAGAGACTAGCATTTTCCTCTAGGAAGGTTAAACAAGGTTACATTCTTCAAAGGTTGTACAGTGGTTATAACTGTGTTGGTTTGTTTTGTAATTTTGTGATAATTCAATTTGAAATGACCCATAAGTTTGAAATTAATTGATATTAGAATCAAAATGTTATTACTCCGTCCTGGATTATTTAACAACCTTCTTAAAACTTCAAGAATAGTTAATACTAAAATTTTAGGAAATGTTTGTTTTAAAAATTATACAACTCAGTCTCAGGAATTATTGAAATTAAACACTAATGTTGTAAAAGATGTAATCCTTTATAAGCATGATAATCCTAAATTTTTTAAATACATTAATATGTTCGGTGTTTCCCAATTCATCTTTTGGATGTATTTATCACACTTTTCATTTACAACTTTAAAAGATGCTCCTATAGCTAAAGAAGGTAGTGAAAAATTACCTTGGTGGCGAAGAATCAATCTAGGAGAACAGAAGTATAGAAATGGAATTACTTTGTTTTGTGGTATTGTAGGTAAATTGAATGAATAAATACTTCTGATTCTTAATGATCTTTAATAGTTTAATTATTTTCACATATAATTCCAATCTCTGTAAAAGTTTAAATTTTAATAGGCATGGACACAGAAAAAAAAAATCTCCTTTTGGCCTTACATACGGCTAAATAGAATATTATATTTCAAGTATTCATACAAATAATATTTAGTTGTGAGGCTGTACCAATGATTTGGGTTTAAATCAACAGATTTGGTTAAAAATTAACAGTTTTGGCTTGGATATTGCTGGTTTAGTTAGTTTCAAATAACTATCTGATGCTTTAATCAACTGATTAAAATATGATTGAAGCAAAATTGTAGAGTAAAGACTACAAACTTTCATTCACCTCCATCATCAACTTTCTGGCTCAGAAACTGGTTCCATTTCATAGTTTGCTCACCATTACCCTGTGAGAAAATAATGGAAACTGAAAAATAAACAAGTTGTTTATGTTTAATAAAACAAAAAAAATGCTGTTTAACAATAATAGGATTCCTTGAAATAACTATTCTAACTATAGTTTAGGGTTTAGAAAAAAAAATTCTTTCCTTTTAACCATTCCCTACACATTGGTAACTCTTCTTTTCTTGACTATCATCAGAAAGCCACGATACTCAGAGCAAATTCACTGTCTTATATTATTCTTACTATACGCAGCCGACAATTGACAAAACCAAACCATCTTTAAATTGTTTTTTCCCCTACCTCAACTTTTCAGGGTTATTCCCAAAACAGGGGAGAATTTCATAGTATTAATAACTTGAATAAGTATTGCTTGGGGAAGCACTGTTGTTATAGATAGTTCTGAGTTTGGAATGGTACAGAGGCATATTGACTGCCTGATAAACGTACATGGTGGAATCTGGTTTTAAAAAAAAGTATCAAGCCACCTGACAGAAATATGATTTGTGATCAATTAAAATGGAAAAACTTAAGTCTTGATTATACTCCTCTTTAAGAGAGCAGGAAATAAATATATATATATATATATATATATATATGATATAGTCATTAAATTTTTACAATATATACAACAAATATTATTATTTTTATGTTTTAAAACAAATTATGATTAGTATAATAATTAGGAAGTAGGATAGTCATTGCCCAACGCACTGACTTCCAGAGCTCAAGGTCCTGGGTTCGAATTTGGCTGATGCCAGATTAATTATTTATACTGTTTCATCAGCCGTGGATCAACCATCCTGGGGCATACCCAGCCTCTATAAACTGGTTACTCTTAATTAAGAGTATAACTGGCTGTTGATCTGACCCAGTCGCCTTCTTGAACAATCTATTGGCCCTGAAACAGTGCTATTTTTTTTTTTTTTTTTTTTTTTTAATAATGATTAATTATATCTACTTAAATGTCACATTTATACTTTTTTTTTTTTTAGGTTACCTATTTTTGCTTGCTTCCTGGTCATACACCATTAGATCTGTTCGTTATTTAATTCTAAGGAAAGGTGGGAAAGTAGTGTCTTTTGTAACTTATGGACCTTTTGGAAAAAATAGTATATTGGATGTTCCTCTTACAAAGGTAAATTGGTGTTCTTTAATATATTTGTTTGTTTGGTTATTGAATTACTTTTTTTTTTACCCTCTGTTTCAGATAAGTGCTTCTGAAAGTCGAGAACATTCAAGAATTCAGTTACCAATAAAAGTCAAAGGAAAATTTTTGTATTATATACTTGATATGAGAGGTGAATTTCCAAACAAATTACTTTTCGATGCAACTGCTGGTTTACGGAGAAAACTGCCATAAGCTGCATTAATCTTTATTTATAAGCAGAAATATTTTTTGTATTAAACATTCAATGAAGTATAGTTTTAAATTATTCTGATTATTGAAATGAATTTTTTCCTTTTCTTGTAATTCAAAAATTTTTATTTTAACTGTACCAAAGAAAAAATGTTTTTGAAAGTATTTAAATGGAAAAATATTATATTTTTGAAAACAGCCTATCATTGTGGAGTATGTCAAGAATAAGACTGAAATATTTCAGCAGCCATGCTGCAGAAGCCTATAAGAACAATGTAATAATGAGATACAGTCTTGTATTTTTTGGGTCAATCTTGTCATGGAAATGTTCTGAAGTACAAAACAAAAAATATATAAAACATTAAACCTTTTTCTTTACGAAGCGATATCAATTTAACAGAAAATCACATAGATAATATGGAAAATTCAGTTTCGTTTTTCTTCCAAATAAATAGTTTTTGAACTTTCAAACTTTTGCAATGTGGCTGTCAATTTATAATCATAATTTATTTGGGGTGTTCAGTCAAAAAGTAACAAAGTAAAAGTAAATAAATTATATTTACGTTTAATTTACTTATTTTTACTTCGTTACTTTTTGACTGAACACCACAACCTACTTCTCTTCAATATATCTATTGCAGTCAATTATTAATCCACTATCATAAATATAATATCCCTGCCCCTCTTTAAGTGAAAAAAATGAAGATGACTACCCATCGGATAATGAAAGCAATCTATTGGTGTTCTGCACAGAAATGGTATCAATTGAAAGCATATCCATATTGCTTTCAACAACAAATACAGCATCCAAAATTCCTGGAAAGCTGAAATTTTGAGGATTTCCAGAAAACTTTTTTTTTAATGGATTAGGTTAACTTGTTTGTCCATTATACATTTGTCTGACCAGCAAAACTGCTATCCCGTTGAATTGAACTTATTTGTGTTATTATTTGATGTGTTGTTGGTCTAATGAGCAATTTCATCATTTCCACCGAAAAAAAAAATGTAAGCTGTTTTGAATTAAGTAATTTTTTAACTGTACTCCATTCAACATGTCAGTAATAAGCTAAAATTAATTATCCTCATACGCTTTGTAATTTTATTCTGTAAATTTTCAACAATTGACAAGTGCTTTTGAGCAAATTTCCACCTTATTTTTTAAAATTTCTCTTTTGGTCGGTCAGATTTTCCTCTCAGAATGAACTTTTCCAAAAATTCCTCCTACCCACATAACATTTACTACTTTTTTATATCTGTTTTACTTACATAATTAAAAAATATAATAAACTCAGATTACGCTTTGATTGAAAAAATATTGTTTTCCTTTTTTTCTGCTATAAACCATAAATTTTCTTTCACCAAAGTGGAAACCCTGATCCTGACCTAAAATAAGGCAGTATTTAATATAATTTTAATATCAAAGGCTTAGGAAAAGGAATGTTCAAATTGACATCACTAATCAGTGTCTACATATGTACTTTCATTGGATGGCAGTCCTCCAAACTCAATTCTTGCACTTTAACTTTGTTTGCGCACTTACTATTTATTTGCACAGGGCTTCTCATTCAAATTCATTGGGTTCAGTTCATCAGGAACCACAGGAGGAGAGAGGGGGGAGGGGGCTGTAATTGCTGCTCGTAATGGAAATTCAACTGCCAAAGCTTCACTTGTCACAATTCGATGGAGAAATATCTTTATTTTGTATCTAGTAAACAGCATTTTGAGGGTGGGTTGGCCGGTCGGCTAATTCAATTTGCAATACATGCATTCCCAAGTAATCTAAGGATTACGAGAATGAGTCTCAGTGCTGGGAGCAGTTAATACTGGTATCAGGAGTGCCCAGAAGGGAGAATATTAAGTTTTCAATTTTAAGGGAACTTTTAAACTAGGAAATAAAGAAAAAAAAGAGCACTCTAATTAGATAAAGACTAATTTCCTCTTCCTCAAATTAGTTGCCCCCTCTATTTTTAAAATATGTACTCCCTTTTGACAATGCTCTTGCAATTATTTCAGGTGAAATTTTTACTTAAAAGGCAAAATATTATAAAACAATAATGGAATGGAGTAGCTCAGTGGTAAGCATCGGAGCTTCCAATGCTAAAGGTCCCCGGTCGGAATCCCGGTTCATGGCAGAAAAATTATTTATTCTGTTTCATTCGCCATGGTCTCACCTTTGGTAGGTAGGCACACCAGCCTCTATAAAGTGGGTATCCTTAATTAATTATTTTACCAGGAAAAAACCTGGCAGTTGAGGGTCATCTGGGTGAAATCACCTCCTTACATAACCATAGACCAAGAAACAGTGCTTTCCCTTAATAGTACTGAGCCCAAGACCCTTCATGGGTTGTAGTGGTACAGATTGTTTTTTTTTAAACAAATAATAATGAATTCCAAGCAGGAGAGGGCAATTGCCTATCCCTATATTTATTTGAAAGCAAATAAAACATAATATTATGCAAAAGGTTTGCCCAAAATTGTTGTTCAATTTATATATTGTATTTCATATAATAATAATAATAAACTTTTTCGAACATTTTTTTCCTTATTGCCTCATAATATGAAAGCTGCGTACGATCTTGATTCCCAGTGTTTAAATTCGTTATGGCTTAATTTAATAGTAAAAACCTGGTGCGCGCATCACACTTTTACTTGCCGCTCTCTTCTTAGTAGAAAAAGTATTTTCAGACAAAGGGAAGTGAAAGTAAAAATGATATACGCTATATTTGTTTACATTTCATTGTGGGTATTTTTATTTATTTAATTACCCTTATATGCACACTAATTTTCATTGTTTAACGTTGTAATCTGTACAATCAAATATTAAGTAATACCAACGATAGTATTTAAGAAAACCGCATATGTATATGTAAATAATGTCGGAGTCTGTATTATGTTAAGTTCATGTTACTATGGAAGTCTGTTTTAATCTTTCAGGTGAGTTCGTGCACACTCGTATTCCTTTCCCTGGGCCCACACTACAGGCAAATCGAGGCAAATTCCCGCATTTTGCCTCAGTTTTATGGGAATTTGCCCGAGTTTGCTAGCGCCACTGTCGTAGAGAACAAAGGAAAGGGCGAGAGTGGGAGAAGGTGGTGGGGATATTTTGACCAGCTGGTGGAAGGTAATGGGCTGTTTACCCCGGTTTGTTGCATATCCATCCGGAATGGAAAACTTAGGCAAAATCCAAGCAAGTTTTGCATTATGGCCGTTGCGCTACGCTAGTGATGCATTGAATAGCCACTGTGATTGGCTGACACAGAAACTTCCATTTTCCGCTTTTTTTTGCAATATCCGGAATAAAACAAAATTAGTGCGCACAACATACAACTTTCACTTACCTTTCTACTTTGAATAGAAATTATTTTCTGGAAATGTTGAGCAATTATAAAAATTTTTAAGTGCACTTTTAACGGATCTATAGCTTAAAGGTCTACAGCTAACTAATCATTATCATCCCTAAAATAACAGAAACCCTATTAATTATATCAACGGTAGATAATAAAAACCTCCCTACCCCATCTTTTTTCGTAAACCATATAACTCCGGTCTCTGAGCAATATACATATGTCTAGAGAGATTTTCAAGTATATCTCTATATTCAACCTATAAATTATTATGGATTCTACGCCTATTAGTTATTAAACTGTTACTTTCCATTGTAAAGTTTACTACAAAGAAATTACGAGATTTTCATAGCCTGTCATAGATAGCTCAAAAGTTGTTACACTAATTTAACAAAGGGAAAATTCATCAAATTACTCACTAATTTAATTTTTTTAAATGTTATACGACGATCAACGGACGTTGATACCTAATTATTTAAATATAATATCAGATTTAGAATTATTAAACTACAGTAAATGTATTTAAGGTTATAAACATAGGCTTTATACATCCATTTAATATTTTTATATTTCACTTCTTTCACATTAGTACTATGAAATAGTTTTTTAACAATAACATTGCGTTGATTAGGTGAATTTTAAATACTTTTTCAAACTTAAAAACAATTTAAATTTAGTTAGTAAATTTCATTTATTTAATTTCCTTGAAAAAATGTGATTTCCGTTAAATAATATTAGTTTACACAAATTATTATTTATAATAATCTCTCTCCATTACATTCTATATTTCATATTGTTTTTTTCTAAAATTATCCGTTTTCCAATGATATAACTTCTGACAAGTATTGCCGGTAATTCATTTTCATCCTCAATACACATTTTCCCTTTTTTCTCCATTTTTCAATTATCAAATTCTTTCAAAAGTTATATTTAGCATTTTTTTCGTAATTCTTAATAATGAGAGATGGTTAATTATTAAAAATTAATCAAATTAAAGGTACTTTAGAGGATGAAATGTTGAACATTTAGGCATTTAAGCTATGTAAAGTGACATTAATGGGGATAAGACCTCAATGATATTAAAGACCACTTAATTATACAATAATACACGAGTTTAATCAAAATTTTCTGTGCAACCAGCTTTCTGTCTTTCAGTAATAACAAACAAATCATTATAAACTACAAAAATTAAATGAAGATATTATTTGCCATTAAATGAATTATGGAAGTTTGTTAGCGGAAGGGTTCATATAAATAAAATTAAATAAGATATAATGAAATATAACATATATTTTTGAACATTTTTACATAATATATTTTAAATAACAAAACTTTTAATCCATTACTAGTTTTTCCCATTTGTCATTACTTATAAATATTTATTTGATTTATTATATTTCCATATATTTGCTATTTGTACTTATCATCTTTTTGAGTGTCAGGTATATATATCATAACCTTTCGTACTTATTCATTACCTTTTATTATCATAAACTAAGTTTTTGTTAATTCATCTAATTACATTTTATTATTCATATCTAATTATTCCATTTTATGTTTCTTCTTCATTTAATACTACTCTTCATTGTTTATTTCCGTTTTATAGTTGAATTGAAATACTTTATAAAACCAATTATGTCAAGTTCCACTTTTGGTAATATTATTTCAGCCAACAATTTGCCCTAAAATCACTGCCATACCTACCTTAATAAATAAGTATAATCACTGAACTTTTCATTTTTTAGATAGATTCTGCATTTACACAAAAAAACCATTAAGCAAAAAGTTTTTTTATGTTTTTGAAAACTTGGAGTTGAAATTTTTAATGATCCCAATACTTCGCATTACATTAAAATAAAATAATATCCATTTTCACATATTATTTAGTCAATATAAAAAAAAAGTTCAAAATATATTTATTTTTTAACCTATGCTTATTCTACTTTAGAGAGTTGAAAACAAGTATTCATTATTTTTTTAAAATGATCAGTTTATCAGTTTCTTTTTTAGTGCCCATATTTGTATCGGTCTGTCAACTAATTTTACATTTCACAGACATTAGTG